GTAGGTGCCCCTGCTTCGGCAGGGGGGTTGGACTAGATGACCCACAGAGGTCCCTTCCAACCCCTACCATTCTGTGATTCTGTATAACTCAGCAATTCTCAGGAAAGCCTGGAAAGGGCAGACCCCACGTGAATTCACTGAGATGACGGCGCTCTGGCTCTCTGAAGCAGAAACCTGATGGGCTCCCCTCGGAAAACACGTATCGGTGAGACAGACAGGCAGCAGCTTCACCAGCGGTAACACAAAAGAGGCAGCTAAGCCACTTCACTGGAACTCAGGAGAGTCCTTTTGGGAAGGAGGAGGTGGAGGACCGGGCGTGCGTCAGCCTCTGCCTGACAGAGACACTGGGACCAATAACACTCTAACTGGGACACCAGCCGAGGGGGCGGCTGCCAGCTCCCAGCCCATAACCCACCCGGCTGGATTTGCCCTATTAAATCTTTCCCACACAAGTGAAAATTCATCTTTGAAAATACCATTAGTTTAGTTGTGTATGACAAATAATTCCGTTTTTGACACTTGTTCATCTTCTATCTAAAGCAAAAGCTTCAGTGTTTCATCGAATTTGTTTTCAAATTTCTACTTTTGGGTGCAATTATTACCTTGAAATCTACAATGGTAATGCTCAAAATTCTTCAAAAATACTGCCCTTTGAATTTTGGTCACGTACCAAAAGAAACATTACACAAAAATATTTTCTTGGTTTATCTCTACAGTTCCTGAAAAACTGCATCTTGTGGACTTGGATACAAACGTACTGGAGAAACCAAAGCCACATGAACAGAGAAGACCTCAAATGGCCACCAAGATCTGTACCAGTCTATATACACATTATATACATACGACTGAGAGCCTGTATGCATGAACGAGTACTGTCTACACACTGCACAAAGTTCATTTGTCTGAGGGTTTTTTTTTAAAAATCTTTTTTAGGCTTAGGTCAAAAACAAGGAGAGCAACCTTGTGGTGGCACACAATACTCGTGGTTGTTGAATTTAGTCTTAGCCTCCTAGTGCCACTGGTCACTAGCCATGAACTGATTTTGCAAGTCTGTCATTCAACACAATAATTTCTACATTTTTTTCTTATTGCATTTGTACACGTAACAAATTGGTACAAATGTTTGCAACAAAAGGTAAAGTTCATTGACACAATGCCTTTCGTGATGGCCACAACTGGTTACTAGCCGACTCTGTAGGTTTTTAGAGATATTTTTAGCTGGACTTGGAAAAATAGGAAATGTACCTTAAAATAAATGTACATAATATACAATATATATATTTATACCTGTGTATGTCTACATACACATATATTGATATAACATTTAAAGTAATGTTTTGTTTTAATCAGTTCTCTGAGTGCTGGGACTACATGGCAAATCTAGCAACGGAATTTGTCCACAATTAAATAACCGTTTCCACAACTTAGAAAAATATACTTTTACTAAATAAGGTTTAAATTAACTGATTTATGGACATAGCAGGCAGGATAACTGTTTCCAGACTCTGGCATGATTAAATCTGAAAGAACCCCAGCTACTGCAAACCGGTAACGAACGCTGCCCCGCAGCCCAACCAAGAA